GCAGTCGCAGGTGAAAGCGCCGGGAGAGGCGTTGCAGATCTGCTCACAGTCGTGTTTCCCCTCAGCACACAGGTCAATGGCTGAAACACACACACACACACACACACACATATATGTAACTAATGTTGTGTTTTACTAATTTTAAGTGTGTTGTTTTAATTATGCTTTTATGAATGTTTACTCTGTATAGTGTCTTTGATTTTCAAGAAAAGCTCTCTAAAATAAATGCATTATTATTATTATTATAAAAACATGTCAGTATCGCTCCTCTTGTTACCTGCGCATGTCTTCCCGTCCTCGTTCAGAGAGTATCCGGGCAGACAGAGGCAGTGGAAAGATCCCGGAGAACTCTCACAGATCTGCTCACAGCCGTGCTTCGACTCCACACACAGATCCACTCCTGAAGCAGAGACACACACACGGTTCAGATCCAGTTGGAGGGTCTTTAGAAAACATGCTTACTCTAGAGCTTCATAATAAGAGGGACGGGGTTGTGCACGAATATGGCTTTTCATTTTGGGTAATTTTATTGGGATCACTGTTCATGTTTTATGGTTTTGTGATATAACTCTTTCTGTTACTTGTTTTGAATTATGTTCCTTACTCTTTAGTCTTTTGTGTATCTTGTCTTGTTCTCTAAAGCACTTTGGGCTGCAGGAAAGGTGCTTATAAATAAAGTTAGTATTATTATTAAGTTTCTGTCAAAGTTGGAAAAGTTTTGTTGACTTCACAGTAAATATTTATTTGGTGAGGTTTTGTACTTCTACTGCTATATACTATTTTGAATGTATGATTTAGTCATGATTGTTTAAAACCGCTGGGTAAATATATTGATATTTATTTGTCCTATTTTGAATGAACTGTGTGCTTTAGAGCACATTTCAGATTTCTCATCAAGTCATACTTCGCTTCTGTCTGTGGTTTTTGATCTGCGTAGTTCTTGTATGCAGACAAAATTAACTTAGGTATCACTTTTATTGTCCTACTGGCGTAAGTTGGTACTGCATGGTTCCCTCTATCAACTTGATTGGATGCTGTAGGGTCAACAACTGGATTTGGTGTCAGCTTGCTGGGAATGAATAGTGTTTATGTTATACATTCAGGAAATGAATTGATTCCCATTTATAAAAACATACTTTCTTTAATTGTGGGCTTTTGTTCTCAACAGATGCACCATTTCCTCTGTTTGTTTGATAAACACTAAATTGAGCAGCTGTTTTACTGAGACGTTTAACAGATGAGACACAGAGAGATTATTCTTACCGCAGAGTTTGTCCTGGAACTGCAGTCCGAACTGATGGATCAGATCAAAAGACTCGACCAGGAAGACGTGGTCCTCGAATGGAGGGGACGCCATCGCCCTGAGGGACGCCATATCTGCTCTGGCCACGCCCACAGCGAAGATCTCGATGCCTTTTTCTCTTGCCTCAATCGCCACCTCTGCCACTCGATCCTGAGGACGACCGTCCGTCACGATCACCACCACGTTGGGCACCTGAGGAGAGGAAACAGTCATCAGGTGAAAAGGCTTTCTGCTTTTTAGTGACGCAGGAATGAGTTCTAAGATATGAATAGTTCCATTAAAAGCAGCGGCAAAAAGAAAAGCCTTCAGCCTGGATTTCAAAGTAGTCAGAGTTGCAGCGGACCTGCAGGTTTCTGGGAGTTTGTTCCAGATATTTGGAGCATAATAACTGAACGCTGCTTCTCCATGTTTAGTTCTGACTCTGGGGACAGAAAGCTGACCAGTCCCTGAAGACCTGAGAGATCTGGATGGTTCATCATTTAGCAGGAGGTCAGAAATGTATTTTGGGCCTAAACCATTCAAAGCTTTATAAACCAGCAGCAGTATTTAGAAATCTATTCTTTGACACACAGGAAGCCAGTGTAAAGACTTCAGAACTGGAGTGATGTGATCCACTTTCTTAGTGTTAGTGAGGACTCGACTTAAACCCGGAAACCACTTCCAGTTGCCTCGCCTGGAAGACAATGTTTATTTTAAAGTGTTTGTTGTTAGAAATGTGTAAATACCTTGGGCCTGTCTCCCTCCTCGGCAACGAAAGCTGTGTCCATCACGAATTTGATGGCGAGACCGGTCATGGTGCCCTGAGCCAGAGGGATGATCTCGTTGATGCCCTTCACCATCGTGTCCAGTTTAGCGTGAGCCTTCAGGGAGAACTCAGTGCGGACCTGGAGACAGAAAAGGAACGTTTACCACATTCCTCGCCTAATCTATGGCGCTTCTATGTTGCCATGTTTTGTGTTTGCAATAACGTCATTGCTATTTCATTACTTACCTCGCTAGCCCTATCAACCTTTAAGTTAAGACTTTATTTATCCGAAGGAAATTGTTGTGCCAGAGTTAC